TATTTTTTAGAAAAATAATTACATGCACTGTTCAGTGGTGATCCAACAAGTGGTTTTGCAAAGCTTTACAGTAGAGCCCGATATCTGTAATAACAGGGACTTGTGTCATGATCCTCACTCAAAATACAACATACTTCTTCCATCAGCAGTTATCATCTCTCTGTCTCTGTGTTTGTGCGTTTGTCTTTAACTGTGTATGTGTATCTGTGTGGTTATCCCTCTCTCTTTCTCTCTGATCTCTATGTATGCGTGTGTATCTCTCTAACTCTCTGATCTGTATGTACCTGTGTCTCTCTCTATTTGTGTCTCTCTCTTGCTCTATTTATTTGTTTGTTTATTTATGTCAATCTACTTTACAGTATATACTATGAAGCATTTTGAGTCGTCTCAATGACGAGATGAGGTCCTATATCAAATTGCAAGGATTATTATTTACATACACTCGTGTATGAATATGTATGTGAGTGTGTGTGTTTCTATTTCTGTGCGTCTCCCTTTCTCTTTACGCACAATATTGTAACTTTATTGGAACTTTCTCATACACTGAGAAATAATCCTGTTACTAGTTTCAATACGTGCAATTAAAGAGTTTTTCTGGTATTTCATCACAACTTTACTTTTGGGATTTCATCTTTGGGTTGGGATTGGGGAGGGTGGAGGGCAGAGATGGTAGCAGGGTGGCCGAAGGCACAGTCGAAGAGTAGGGTCTTGAGGCATGCCTTGAAGGACTGGCTTGGTGAGGTGGAGTGTGCTTCCTTGGATGCTGATGCTGCCAGTGCTTGACTCTGTAATGAATCCTGTATTAGGGATTTTATTTTTCCATTGCTACATTAAACTGAGACCTCATCTGCCTGTTAAGATGGACTTTAAAGATCCCTTGGCGCTATTTGAAAACAGGAGAGACTTCTGGTTCAATATTCTGGCTACAATTCTCTGCATGAGTTGGTCATTCTCTTCACAGATGCTTGCTAGCATAAGCGGTCATTGGTTTATGCTTACGAGTACAGCCACTATCTATCAAGTGCTTTGAGATGTTTCGATGAGATAAAGTGCTTAAAAATAAGATTTTGTTTGTGACACAAAGCGCAGGTGAAAGAAATGTTCCTTGTATTAAAGGTGTAAAAGATTTTTTTTCAAATGATGCGAGTTTCCCTCCCCCTTCCCGCCTTGACTATAGTTTCTTGTGTAATTCTCTGTGTGCTGAAAGTAACTGATTGATGTTGGGTATGCTATAAAGCATTTTTTTAACTCAGAAAAGATTGTTCCGTATAATGCAATACTAAAGGCACGTCTCTTGATATTACTCTGCGCTACTTATCATCTTGCAGTTCTCAGCAGCCGACTCATTTCTGTTGCAACCTTGAACATAGCATAAAACATTGTTTAAAGCATAGACAGCTGAAGCCTAGTAGCATTACAAGAAAAGGGCTCTAACTGTGAGAGCCTTGTGACTGAGGTTGGGGAGAACTCGGGGAAATCTTCTGAGGAATTCTATCTTTAAATTGCTGCAGTCTGGAAATGAGGAATTGCCCAAATGACAATAAGTGGTTACGACTGGATTGATTAGTGGCTTCATTTTATTAAAATGGCTATTTCTATGGAATGCATTAACTGGAGCGTACACTAGCATTACCATCTGCTTGCATTAAGCCATTCAGTGAGAAAGAAACATTGGAATAAAGCGAATGGAGGGGACCAGAAAATAAAAGGGACCTGTTAAACTGAGCATGTCAGTCCTCAGAAAGGAATGGGATGCTTTTCCATTTCAGGTACCCAGAATCAGCATCAGGCGCTCCCAGGACGGGAAAATTCTAATGAGAATCTTGAGTTTTGCTCTTTCATAATCTCAGTCTGACCACTTACCATCTCCTCCATCCGTGCTCCCAATGAGCTTCCTCAGATATAAAACAGATTGGATTCACCCCCTTCCTCCCTCAATACCCTGGTCTCCATTTACTCTTCCTTCAACTCTGCTTCCCTCTCCTGATGCATAAAACCTACCACCTGCTCCCTTGACCCCATCCCTACACTGCTCCTAAATAATCAACTTTTCTGGTTTCACTCTTACCTATCCCAGTGCCCTCACTTTGCCTCTTCCAATAGCTTCACCTCCTGCCCCCGTACAGACACTTATAGTGTTTCACAAGGCTTTATCTTGGACTCTCCTTTTCACCATCCATATCCTCTCTTTGGTGATATCATCTATAGACATGGGGTCCATTTCCACATGTACTCAGATGACACCCAATTCTGTTTCTCTACCTCCACCCACCATTCCAGGACTATTGATTTTTTAACTAATTGCCTGTCAAACATCAAGTCTTGAATCAGTTCTAATCCTGTACGGCTCAATGTCAGCAAGACCAAGGCTCTCATCATATAATGCTCTCCGCATCACATATTGTTCTCCCTCCCTTCCCTCACTCATACCATGCATTATTTCTCAGCCATGTGCTCTCCTGCTAGGTCTGCGTTGAAGTTGATTACTTAATCGGCTGTCTAGATGTACTCCAGAGCAACAGGCCAGTAGGGGGAGAAAGAGATGCTGTAGAAATAATTTACTTTTCTTCTCCTTCATTCCTAATGATACAGCATAGGCAGGAATGTAGAGTGATTGCAAAAGCAAGTGCATTGCTGTCCCCAGGGAAGAGGACTGAAGCCGACTGAAGCTAACTGTGAGAAGCCCTCAGCGTAAACCTCGAGGGATTGCATACAATTTGGGACAAGCTGACCCTTTGTGAATGTGATAACCCTGGCAGACTTAGGAGGCCAATTATGGTAGAAGAGATCTGGAGCCACTCTTCCTGGCATCAGGAGTGTTTGTATAGGTTGGTCACAAAGGTCTAGGGCTGTTTTTCATGATTGTACCTGCATGTTTGTTTAAAGCAATGAGCTTGTTTTAAACCCAGGTCTGGCAGAAACCAAGCTTGTGTTGCATTTTGTGACATTACAGATCAGTGGCTGCTTGTTGCATGGAGCCTTGTAGATCTGAATATTTGTACATTTAAAAAAAACAGTGCTTAATTTTGCTTTACATTTCTCCTGAAGAGGCATCATTTTCCCAATTTGAAACTTGACATGAGGATATTTGTAGGAAACCTGCTGCTTTGTGCAATAATAGCTTAATTCAGGTTTTATTTGTTGAGGTAAATTGGTATCCTGCTAAGTGACTGACCATTCCAATTGACTCAACCATTAGTATGGAGTTATGTAAGTGTGCACAGGTGTATTTGTGGGAACGAGCTTGTTTACACTGAACACCAATTGATGTTTTTAGCAGTTTACTGGTTGCTATTTAACCATGTGATAAGATTGCAAATTAGAGAGATGTCACAATTAGTTAATTTAATCCTGTTTTGTGCCTATCTCAGTTGGACTCTGTGTTGGGAGTACAGTACTCAGTGGTTCTCCACTGAGATCCCAGAAGTTGGGATGGGACACCCTCTCCCTTGTGCTACAAGGTTGCCTCAACCTATTGAAAAGATGGAATGAGGTCTATCAGGTGTCTGCTGGTCAGCCCACAGCAAGGCTACAGTTGATAGAGCTGCTTGAGCTGTTCAAGAGCTTCTGGTCTCTGTGTTGCTGGTCAAGGTCACCAATGACATCTTGACCATCTGCGACCAGGGCTCCCTCTGCCTCCTCGTCCTCCTTGACCTATCGGCAGCATTCGATAAGGTCGACCACGCTATCCTCCTCCACCGCTTGTCCTCCCACCTCAACCTTCAAGGCCCTGTCCTTGAGTGGTTTAGGTCGTACCCCACTGTCTTCATTTTGTTTCCACAAACGGCTTTTGCTCCACCCCCCACACTGTCTCGTGCGGTGTCCCTCAGGGCTCTGTCCTCGGTCCCCTCTTCACCCTCTATATGCTCCCCCTTAGTGACATCATCCGCAGACATGGGGTTAACTTCCACATGTATGCAGATGACACCCAACTCTACCTTTCCTCCTCTACCCTCAACTTCATGACCACCGATGTCCTGATAGCCTGTCTGTCCGACATCGAGTCCTGGACGAGAGACAACTTTCTTCAGCTCAGCGTGCGTAAAACTGAGGCCCTCCTGATTGGGCGCTGACAACATCAGCATCCAAGGCTGTACTCTCTACCTCTCAAAGCCAGTCAGGAACCTCGGTGTTCTGTTCGACCCTAAGCTGTCCTTTCTTCCTCATATCCGCGCCACAACTGGCACCGCCTTCCATCACCTCCGAAACATCGCCAGACTACGGCACTACCTCACCCCTCACGCTGCTGAAACTCTGGTCCATGCCTTTATCACCTCAAGGCTGGACTATGGGAACTCTCTCCTCGCCGGCCTTCCCGGCACCTCCCTCCACAAGCTGCAGGTCATTCAGAACTCTGCAGCTCGTGTACTGTCCTTCACCAGGCTTCGCGGCCACATCACTCCCACCCTCGCTCACCTCCACTGGCTCCCCATCCCCTAGAGGATCGAATTCAAGATCCTCATCCTCACCTACAAGGCCATTCACGGCCTCGCTCCCTCCTACCTCTCCGATCTACTATCCCCCATCTACCTGTCCGTACCCTCCGTTCCTCTGGCTTCGGTCTGCTCCACATCCCCCGCCCCAACTGCCTTACCATCGGTGGCCGGGCCTTCAGCCTCTGAGCCCCTAGGCTCTGGAACTCCATCCCCCAGTGCCTTCGCCGCCTCCTCCCTTTCCTCCTTCAAGGCCGGTCTCAAGACCTTTCTCTTTGACTGTGCCTTCAGCTCCCCTCTCAACTCTCTACCCCCTCCTCGCTCCCTCCCTTCCCTCCCCTCATCCTGACCATTTCCCCCCTGCTCGGGTCCTGACCCAACTGTCCAGCGCTTTGGGACGTCCTCCCGACATGAAAGGCGCTCTATAAATGGAATCTTGTTGTTGTTGCTGCCCACAAGCTCAAGAAAGACAGAAAGGGGAAATGGCTTGTAGTGTTGGTAAAGAGCTGGGTTCTGATTTTGCCTGTTCATATATTTGTGTGGTAACTCTGGTGCTCATATTCCTAGGCTATTATGTGGCGAGTCATACTCCAGAGGTGGATGACCAATGGACGGGTCGGAGACTGATGTCGCAAAGCAATGAGAATGACACCAAGACACGCTTGCAATACTTCAAGAACTGCACTGAGCCTGGTAAGAGAGCTGTTGCAACACTCCTTAGCACACACCCCCACCCATCTCCAAAAAGCCATCACACTTTCCAAGTGAATGGTGCTTGTGTTTGTAGCACGTTACACAGTATTTTGTAGCTGATTAGCACTGTGTTGGGTAAGGGGTTACTTAAATGGAGTATTATTTTTGAGTTAAGGTGGTATTCTGTTAACTAACTTGACAATTCCAGTGCACACAGCTTCTAACGCCTGATAATGGGCAGCTATTGGCCCACTGAACCTGTGTACAGTCAATGATGTGAGGGATAACTGGCCACTTCTCCCATGAGAAGCAACAAGAGTCACAGTGACTTTTTATCTCTTTCTGGCAGACACAATCAAAATAACATTGCTATCACATATGCTGTGTGTAAAAAAATAAATAAATAAAATAAATAAATAAATCTGTTTACGCTCACAGTGCCTTATAACTAGAAAAAGTGATAGGATGGGTCTGATAGCCTTGCTTGAGATCATCTCCTTATTGTCGGCTCCACTGGTCTGGATTATCAGGGTTTCAGAAGCTATGGTCAGTGGAGTCCGTGCATTTATAGTTTTCTTTTTTTCAGCAATAAAAACTGGAGCGAGGGGAGGGAATGTTGATGAAATTCAGTCAGTTTAAAAACTGAATTTAATTTTTAAAGTCTGAATTTTCCTATCTTTTCTGTCTTCCATGATTGTGTCCTCATTGTGAATCTGGCTTCGCTGTAATTCCTTTCCTGTTAATACTCTCAAAAGCTTGTGCCATCACAGTGCGGACGATTTGGGCCGACTGACCTGTTTCCTTGCCCTATCATTCTATGTAACTCTGTTATTAGACACATACATTACCATAGCTGGCTTTCTTGTGTATTTCCATGAACAGCAATGCAGCCAGATGGGTTTCCCAGTTGCTCTCAAGCCTGTGCTGGTGCAGCTCTATAGGTCGGTAGGAGGCGCATGTCTGCAGTTTTCCACTTAATAATAATAATAATCCGTGCATTTGATATAGCGCTTTTCACGTCTTCTAGACCTGTCAAAGCATTTCACAGAATATGCTCAAAGTGAATTGACTGTATATTTGTGGGCTATATATAATATATATGAAATATTTGAAATGATTTCTGTGAAATCATGTCTTGTCTTACCAGCTCAGGATGTGAAGATGCTCCTCACTTTTCCTTCCCCTGAGGGTATCTCAGCATGGTTTAGTGTAGTTGTAACCAAACGTTTTGGTTGGGCAACAAAATAAATTTTCTTGATTTATGCCAAAAATCAAAAAATGTTCAATCAAGAGAACTGGAAATGCACTGTTGATTAATATGGTTAGCCACCCATAACCTCAATCAACAGTGGTGCAACTGAACCCAGCTCCATATTATTGGTCAGCGGTTATCTGACACATGCAGAACCTGTCACCATGAGTATGTGAACCAGACAGAGCTCCTCTTGTGTATGCTGCCTACGCATGAAAAAATTCTCGTTTGTCAGAAATGGAATGTATACTGTCTGCCCAGAGGGTCACACCATGCTTACCTAGTTCTGGAAAATATGAGACACAGGATTGCGAGAGCCAAGTGATACCCCAGAGTGTGCGTTGGGGTTAGTACTGGATTGTAACCAGGTAAAACTGCATAGCTTCCCATTTGGGTCACTAGTTGAGTGGGAAGAATCCTTGGAGCCCAGTGACCGCTCTGCCCCTCAAATTCCTGCCAACGAGCCAGAACTGATACCCGGCTATGACATGAAATTGAAAATGGACCAAGCCACTGTGAAATTAAAAGAATTATGCTGCTTGCGATGTTGGCGAAAAATCAACCCGTATCAAAAATGTTCTTTCTGGAGAATTCTTTTTAATAGTATTTCCTTTGGTCGGCAGTTGCTGGTTGGTCACGTGATGTCTCTCTAATCTGGTTGATAGATTGGTTAATCTGCCTGTACTGAGTGATATATAATTTTAATCAAGGCACAATCCACATTTCTAGGTATTTACTAGACCAGCCCAAACCAACCTCTCTTTATCTCACTTGCTGCAAAGCAGAACTGCCCTTATTTACTCTCCTAATTCAACACATTTAAAGTAGGTCAATAATATCCGGTGACTTGTCTCTTAAACCTCATTGCTTATGTCTTTATGTGAAATAGATTTAGAAGTACACAACCCAAAGCTGCCAAGCTCAATGTCTTGCAAGAGAAAACATTGTAAATGGGTATGGTGGGGGGGGTGGTGGTAGAAATGAGGAGAGAATGCAAACCCATCTGTTTATTTTCGGAGAATGAAACTCTGAGAAACAGGTTAAATTGTTTAGTCAAAATCAGTGAGGTTTGGCAGGCGCAGCTGTACAGCAGTTACTGAACCAGGCAGAATTTGAATAGGCAATCTCTCTATTTCGATCTTTCTCTTTGTGTGTGTGTGTGTGTCCCTTTTTTTGTTTCTCTTGCTGCCTTCCTTTGCCTCTGTGTTACCATCCTCCCTCTTTCTGTGTGTATGTCTGTTTGTCATTCATTTTTCCATGAGTCTCTTGCACTCTCTGCCTTTCTCACTCTCCAAATGACTGTTTTATAATAATAATCCTTGCATTTGGTTTAGTGCCTTATCACGTCTTTGAGCATCTCAAAGTGCTTCGCAGAATATATTGTAAAGTGAATTGACTGCATATTTTGTGGGTGAAATGTGGCAGCCAATGGCGCACAGCAGTGTCCCACAAGCAGTCTTGGATTGAGTGACCAATTTTTTTTTAAGGAATTATTACCCCTGGAAAAGCGAACCGCCAATCAACTAATAACCGGGTTCCTACTTACTGCTAGGCAAACAGAGGCGTCTAGAATAAGGAAACTTGCCCAACATTTTGCCCTGCCGGGAATCGAACCCAGGACACGCATATATATATATATTATATATTCAGTATGAGTTATTTGATCTTTGGTTGGATAAAGTCTTTTATTAGCACAGAGAATGAGGCCAGATCCAGAAAAAAAAGTAGCATTACTGCCCACGCTATTTAGGCTAATATCTGAGCCCAATAAAGATGCACAAAATTTTAAAAAAAACTACAAAGTGTTTTTCTGAGAGAAGGATTAGGACATGTTAATATTGTGCATATTTTACTGTAATAGGTTACAGGCATGCTTTGATCTGTCCCTAAATGGGGGATGTTATTGCCTTTGATTCAACCAGAGTAGGATCATTCTTACCATGCACATTTCCTGTTGGGTTGGCACATGAGAGACATTAGTTACAATGTATAGTAGTGATTCCACTTTGGAGATTAATTTGTACAAGCATTTTTTCAGGACCTGTTGAGAAGTGGATTGTTGTACAAATTTATTCCAGGATTCAGCCTGTTGGATTTTTTTTGTGTTCACTCCATATTGTAACTGACAGGTGTAGGGTGTATGGGATGAATCTGCTGTATATTGTAAGACCAACTAAATGACTTGTTATCTACAGGACGCAAATGTGGCCAGTCACAGTGGCTGTGATTCCCACCTAGTCCCCACCCTCCCCGCGGAGCATGAGCTGTAACTGCTGTTGACACTTGCGGAGACTCTGTTGCTGTCCACAATTGGAACTTGCCTTCTGTATTTAAAAGGTTTCGTATTGTCCTATTAATCTTTGGATTTTTCGTCCTTTTCCTCCTCTGCGGAATGCATTGACTCCTGTTGGAATACGATCCCACAGGCACCAGCCTCGTCCAGCACCTCTGCCAAGTGACTGTGCATGTATATGTGACCCTGGACACTCACGTCAGCCAGGCTTTTTGACCGTAGTGTTAGTCGTTGAGGGAATATACAAGTTGAGGCCGGCCATGCACATCTCTGGATCACAATTAGAAACAGGAACACTGGCTTTGATTTTCCCTTCTCCCCCATTCTAGCAGCACAAGTGCCAATTGTATGGCCCATAAATAGCCCATCTGCTAAGATCAGATTACTTAACAAAATTCATGGATAGGATCTGGAACCTTCCTGGTGACCAATGGATCTGTTCCACGTAGTGCATTTACCCAATGTGACTCAGGAGAGTGCTAAAATATGTTCATTCTGTTATCTGCGTTATGTTTAGTTCAAAGTTTCTTCCCCCACCTCTCTTTTCCTGAAGTTGTTGATTCTCTTTTCCTTGTATTGGGATATGTACAGCTCTTCAGGTACCTGGTCTCCTACTTGTACCTTGTCAAAGTGGTATCTATTTATAAAGTCTAGAGTAGTGACAGCCTAATAAACATGTAGTGGGCAGGCAGGAGTGGGGAGGAAGAGAAGGAAAGAAAGAAATCCGTGCATTTGGAATAGGCCTTTCATGTCAGGAGGACGTCTAAAAGCACTTCACAGGATATACTGTAACTATTGGGGAACTTGTTATTTTTTGTAAAAAAAATCTTTGGTTTTTAACATTTTCCATTCTCTTCAAATTTTAGTGTCTAATTATTTGTTCTGATTTTTGCATTTGCCCACAAAAAAAGTCACAACTTTACAGTATATCCTGTGAAGTGCTTTGAGATGTCTTAACGATGTGTAAAGCATATCAGATGCAAGGATTGTTATTACAGTAAAACTTGCATAAGTATCTTTATAAATCCTATAATCGCCTAAGTTGTACAACCGCCTGAGTCCCATTCAGTTTCCTATCAAAACCACTCAGATTTCTTTGTACTGGTCGTACTAATCACCTCCCAACTCGCCACGCTGTTCCCCTATCCTCCATTACTCTCACATTTACCAGCTGCAAGTGCCAAACTCCCACACGCTCACCTATCGGTTGCGTTGAATTATGCATGCGCAGAGTAGATTATTGATTAAATTGGATTTTATACAACTTAATCAAGTGTGCTTACAACTTAAGACTTCATATTAAATATCATGGTCCCTACTGACATGAGTTATGAGTTTTACTGTATTTATTATTTTCTCCCCTGTTGCTGTATGCCTCTGGTCCCCAGATTCCTCTTGATGGGATGAAGTTCCACGATTGCTGGTTGACCTCCAGTTCATGGTTGACCATAGTTC